TCAGACGTGTGCTCTTCCGATCTCCCCAAAACCCCAAAACCCCATCAGTAAAGTGTGCAATTGAAAATCATATTGATAATTATTAGGTCTTTAATAGTATTATTATTGTAATTAATTTCATGATTTCTCTATCAGTAGTATAATCCTTTGTTATTGCTGTAACCACTTGATTTTTTGGATTTGCTTCCACCTAGACTAGGTCTTTTTTATAGTCGATCACTAATCCCATCATCTAATTAGTTATTATTAACATTACTACCATTTCCAAGTTTCATATTGTTTATCTCATAACTATTCTAATTACTCAGACTGTTTCTAGTTTCATGCTTAGGCCCAGATTTTTACTCATTATTATAGGCCTGCAATTTTTTGGAAAGTCCATAGTAAGATTAGTCAATGACTGGGTTCATGTTATTGGCCATAAAGCCGTGTCTTAGAGAGGACATCTGCTGAGCATTTGGTTAATTTAAAGGTTGATTAATCGTCTCTCTAGGCGAATAAAAATGAGAATTAACTGGTCGTTGACTATTCCCCATTTACTGGACCATCTATTCCTATATTTTTTAATTATTAGCACTTGGAGTTACACCATGGCTCTAGGGGAACTAATTGTCCTAATAAGCAAGATATTAAAGCGTATTCAATTGGTGTAACTGATGTGGATTCTACAACTTTTAATAATTATCTCTTACTTATGCCCTTTGATTACTACAATCACTAAATTGTTGCTCATACGAAAGACTGCTACCAGCAGGCTTATACGAGCCTAAGTCAAAGCTGTTTTGAGATTTCTTAGAAGATATCTATGACTTTATTAATGACTCCTTCTTATCTTTTTCAGCCTAAAATTTGTTTGAAGTGGTATGTAACTTTAGCTGTAAGTCTTATATTTTCATAGCACATTTCTCATTTTCCTTCCTATATTCATCAATAAGCTTATTTAGTTTGTCGTTTTCTTCCTCTCTATGATTGAACTTATGACTCTTAGCTTTTATAATATTATTATTATTCTAGGAATAATTGTATCTATGAATGCTAGGAGCAAGAGTCTTTGCCTGATTTTTGTAGTTTTGGTGAACTATATTATTATGAGGATTGTTCTTAGACTAGACTGTGCCTTTACTGATGGTAGATTTGCTTCTTAGCAATTCATTATCTTCTTTTTCATCGAAATTTTTAATGCTCATATTATTATTGCTGGATTTATCAGAGGGACTAAAGTATCTTTCTCTGTCTGCAGTGCTGCTAATCATATTGTTATACTAGGTTGAATTGGTCTAAAGATTATTCGAAGATAGTTTGATAGAAGAACTACCCAACTGACCATCATGTTTTGAAATGTTTTCCTCTGTATTATGCTTTCTCTCCAGGCTCTGCTTGGATTTTTAATCTTTGATTGAGGGTGTTTTATCACTTGCCATTGAAGCTGTGATTTAATGTTAATATGATTCAAGCATCCTCTGTAATTGGTTGTTTTCCTTAAACTAATTTTGATACTGCTGATCGATGATCTAGTACTTGTGCAGAATATCAGTTATCTAGTCTTAAAGCATTTTATTTTTTTACTGGACTTCATTAACTTCCTCTACCAACTTCATGTTTTGATCTCTATCGCTCTTTTGCTGATCCAACATTCGAATTTCCATTTCTCTAATCTTTAAAGAGAGCTCGTTCTATAGGACTCTTACTTTTTCTCTAAGAGATTAGTTTTCATCTACTAACTATTAGTATTCATTGGCAATATTCTCATAGTCTAAATTCTGATTATTGAGAGTTTAAATTTTGATTAGGTCGTTGTTTTCTTGAAGTAGTCTTTAGAAATTAAAAGTTACTTGATCAAGAAGCTCGTCTGTGCTCAATATTTGCACTGAATCATCTTCAACTAGTCTGATCAGCCTGTTGAATATCTTTTCTTCGAGCTCTTTAATTGCGTCTTCATTTGATTATGTGTTGAAAGTTTGCTAATTTACTGGAAGTGCTTGATGATTCTTTGAGGGGCTTTGCTTTTTAACAGCCGTTTTTTACTATTCTTGCTATATAGCTAATTAGGATTGCTAATCCTAAGAGATCTCTTGAATCTCAATAGTCTAAGAATTCAAAACTATTAAATGCTCTAACTCCTATCTTATTACATCTTTTAGCATAATGATAGTAGTTTTAATACTATCTTTAAATTATACCTAGATAGATCCAATGCCAAAGTCTTCTAACTATCTGTTTGTTAATCTTTGGTTTAATATCGCAGCTTTTGTCTCAATACAGTTAAGTTGAATTCTAGATTTGACCTCTCTCATTTCATTTAAGTAAAAGTCTAATTCCTGCATATCTGAGTTAAACTACTCCTCATCATAGTCATCTTACTGCTATTGTGAGATTTGATTCTTGCTTTAGATTTGCTGTTCAAGTTGGTCCATAACAGCCTTAATATCAGCTTCTAATTAATGGTTTGACTATCTAAGTTGCTACAACTCCCTTTGATCTTATTATCTAGCCTTATGCAATTCATCTAACTCAGATAGTTACTGCTAAGAAACCTTCTACAGATTTTCAATATCTCTCTTTGACTGTTCTTAAGACTGAGATTTCAATTTGTTAAGCTTTGCTTCTGAATCTTTGAGTTGTTTCTCCAACTAAATGATAAGCTTCTAATTAAGGTCTTTAGTTTTAATCAGCTCTTGTATTTCTTTGTCTTTTTTTTGCAACTAGTAGCTCTCACTATCTTTTAATTGCCCTGGTGAGGTGTTTAATCTGCTTTGATTCAATAGCTGATATTGAAGACTCTAGATTTAGGTGTCTCGCTCTTATATTTGCTTTGAGAATTTGCCTTCCATTTGTTCAGTTTGCTTCTTAATCAATTTCAGATTCTCAATATCTTACTGCTAATTTTTTTAATTTTCTTCAATTTTAACTTGAAGTTGTTCAATTAATTTATCCTTTCTTCTATCCTCTTCTTCCAGACTCCTAATCTAATCATCTTTTTGTGCCAGCATTTTCTAGTAAATTTCTTCTTGCTCTTATTAAGATTTGTGAATTACTTCGTCATGTGAGTATTCTAAGATAACTTATTAAAACTACTCTAGCAACAGAGAGTATTTTTATTCGATTTAGCTTTGATTCAAGTTAACTCCCCTTATGTGATTTTCCATACTTCTCCAGTCATTTTGAAGTTACTGATAGTGATGAAACAAATCATTATAGAAAATATCTTGTTTCTAAATCTGCTCTATCAGCTCTTAATTTACATCATCTTTGTTTGAATTTTATATCTACTAATGTTCCCTCAATCTCTTATTGAAATTCTCTTCTAGTTCGAGCATATCTTTTTCCCATTTATCTTGCATTAGCCTATGTGCTTATGTTTGCTCCTATTAAGAAACCTTCAGCTTTCCATTTTATTCATACTCTTCATCTAAATCTTTCCTTAGCAAAAGATTTTTACTCCTAAGATCTTCAACAGTTTTATCGTGGAGTCTTTATTCATTCTAAAGTTAAATTATCTCTTCTTCCAACTCACTAATTTTGCTTTCTAATAGTTTCTATTGATTCTGAGGTGATTACTGCTAGGTCTTTAATGGGCTAGTTGCTTACTCTTTTTACTCTTCAATTGTGACTTATTTTTTCTCAGTAGTCTATCTCATTAGAGCATCGTTCCCAGCTGAAGACTTGGTCCTTGTCTTATTTCTAACAATCTTTTAAGCTCTTGGTGTTTCCTATGCAGCTTCATCCTCTTCCTTAATAATTTCAAGTTTAGTTTCCTCTTCCACATTATCTAGGGGATTCTTTTTAGACAATAATGAACTAAGGCCTAATTTTATTCCATTGTTTATCTTTTGGCTCTATTCATCGGAAGTATTGAGAGTAGGGCTATTCATGGGAGAGGTATTAGCTGACTTACTCATCATATTGGCCACGCCTTCTCTGATCTTTATAGATATATTTTCATTTGTTTTTTGATAGTCATCGATTAGCTTTTTTTGATTTTGATTCATCTGTGTTAATTTTTCTGCATCTTATGTAAGTTTCAACATTTTCTCATCAACTCCTCTATATTTATCCTCCATTTGTTCAAGTTTCGTTTTCTATAATCAAGTATCATAAATAAGTAAATTTGATAAGGTTTAAAGATATATGACTTGATAGTATTCTTATATTATTCATACTATTAATTTTCATAGTTACAGATATCAACAATAACAAGAGTTTAATGATGATGAAATGATACTTACATATTCTTCAAGCTTTTATTATAAAATTGCCTTGTCTTATTTAAGCTCTCTAATCATCTTTGTCATGTGATGGCCTTTGAATTGCTCTGTGATATCCATAAGCTGAGTAACAAAGAATTCTTCTTAAGGTATAATTCCCTCACATAGTTCTCGATAATCCTAAATAAAATCTCAGATTAGTTCGATTCATTTATTTTTTTAATTACTTGAGAGTTTTCTCTGATGAGAGGCAAATTTTTATAGTTTCTTTGCCATTGATCTTGTTTGGACAGCCTTTCATTAAGGACTTTACTAAATTAATTTGATGCCGATTGGGTCACAGGAGGCTAAGAAGAAGATCTCATTTTATTTCTTCTTTGTATTAATTTTATTAAAATAAGTTCGAAGTTTTATGAATTATCACTGTTTAATTCTCTTATTTTAACTTTGACCAATTCAATGGGGTTTTGGGGTTTTGGGG